AAAGAAAAGGACAGAGAATTTCTTTTTATCTATATAAAAACTACACTTTTGACTCAAGGGTCTACGAAAAGTCTACATGATATAAAAATAAGGCTTCTTGTGCTTTAATAATGGGGCCTGCGATAAATTTTGTCCTGGGACCAGTAAAATTTTTATTCAGCCTTGAATCCAGTTATCTTCTTACCCCACCGTGCCACTGCAATTTTCGTTGGCCCAGCATAAACACTTATTAAATAAGGGGACGGACCGGGTTAGTAACCGGTTTTACCTCACAAGCAGACGTTATCGAAACGAATCAAAACAGTGTTACCTATCGAGCTGAATCCTTATTGTTTGTTAGGGTGTGAATCTTAAGCAAACGTTGAATAAGCTGGACCAAACTTATTTTTTATAACTTTAATGATCAATTAATAAGAATAGCTAAAAACCAGAGAACATTAGAGAGTTAAAGTAAAGTAAATTTCTCTACACAGTTACCATGAATTAATGATCAACAATATGGAAACCCTTTTTCTTGACATGTAAATCGTAATTCAGAGTTTATCCGTTAGAAAACTAAACCAATTTTGCCAAAAATCGAAGAACCCGGTTTTACCCCGCTCTATGTTTGAAGAAAAACTCTCTGGCTCCCAATCAAGATGGCGTAATTAAGTAAGTCAAACGGTAGTAAGTAAGTCGAACTTTTAATATATGAATGAAAAAAGTTATTTTAATAAATTTTATTAATAATGTAGTCATTTGCACGTTTCAATTATAGAATCAAACATTATCTTTTGAAAGAACTACAAAATAACCCCCCCCCCCAATCGTCTAGGTCCAATGAATCCAATCAATCGAATCAAATGATTCAATAAAAAAATAATAAAAAAATTTTTTTTAGTTCAGCTTTATCTAAATTTATTGCACTTATTATTTATTTAATGGCGAACTAAAGTTCACTATCACATTCCTTGGATATTTAGCAACAAAATAAATAAAAATATAAGCTTGTTAAAAGCAAAACTTTTTACGAATCATTTATTAAAAAATGCAATTTTTAATTTAATCAAGTTGTGAACAATATTTTGTTTGTATTACCTCTTTCCCATAATAATTTTCATTTACGGTATAGGTTTAAGAAATATATAATAGTATATGTACAATATAAAGTATTTGCACAATATGCAATTTTGTACAATTAATTCTTAAAGCAATCCCGCTACAGCCCGTTTTGAAAAAATGAGACATGTTGCTTAAGGCTGCACAATTTCGTGACCTACGGCATGATTGTGAGAAAGTGCACATTGCGCACAATCCGCCTTACTTCATAGAAAAATCATTATCTGAGCTGGATAGGCTTTAAATCGTTACTGAGGATCTAATCTCAGTCCTACAGAACTACAGTTTAATGTCTTTAACCACAAAGATAACGTGGCTCACAAGCAATTCTATAGAAGAATTAAAATTTCTATAGAAGAATTCAAAATTCTAAAGGAGAATTCTTGTAAATTGTTGGCAAAGTATGTAAATACCCTACCAAAGAGTTTTCGACACCTTTTTTTGCATAATTCATCCTAGAACACGAAAGGATCTACGTTTTTCTATTTTTAGATAATTTTTGACATTTGAATTTAAAAAAAAAAAAATTAAGGTGGTTTCTTTTCTGTATGAAAATGAAGCTGATTCTTTGCAAATTAAACGAATAAAATAATACTAGCTACTATACATTTCAGCCTATTGCAATCTTTTGTTAGTATCTTTTAACTAAAATATAGAATAAATCTTTACGCGCTAAGTAAAAAATAAATTCATACGCTTATACAACACTTATATATATAGTCCCTCTATCTATTTTTATCATTTTACAGAAACGAAAAAAACAAATAGTAAAGATTATATTCTTAGAAATGAATTTTATTGAAAATATTTACCAGAAAGCGCATTTCTTGTCTTTAACTATATATGCTCATGTGTTTTTGTTTTTCAATAATGTTTTGGTTTTTCAATTTTGTTTTTCAATGTAAAAAATGTTCCAAATTTTTTTTATTTATTTACTTTGCTATAAATATTTCATGTAAAATTTACATGGCATTTTGAAAATAAAATTGGCATTTTAGTACAAGTTTCCTTTGACAATTTAGAGATATATTTAACGTGAGAGTTGGCAGCAAAATTAGCAGTTTAGGCAATTTTGAGAAAATTACTCATCAGATAACGGCATTCTCAAAAACCGCATAAAAAACAGTTGAATTTTTTGATTTTTCTTTTTTTAATGTCAGTAGTAATTTTGGTATTTTTTAAAGTATATTACACTCTAAGATATTCACCAAAATGTATAAATTTTTTTGAGCTGAATTTAACAAATGAAAGGTTTTTTCATGAAGAAATGAAAGGTTTTTTTGTCAAAAAAACCCGAAATCAATTCTCTAATCTGTGTACTTGCCTAACACCATTAAAACTGATACTTGCTAGTTTAAAAGGTTTTTAGCCATAATTTTTTTTTTTTCATTCGTATTATTTTATAAACTTCTTTCAAAATTATCAAACAATGAAACTTAAATTTCATTGAAAATTCGTGAATAAATTATTCTCCAGAAAAAAAGTATGTGATGAAAAGAGGTGTGAAAAAAGTGCTTTTAACAAAAAATGATAATATTTACTTCAACAATCTGAAAAGTTATCAATAGTTTAAAACTCGCTATACAATAAATTGAACAACAACAATTTAATTACGTACTTCCGTAGTTATTTATTTTAATATAGTCGATTTTTATTGAGAGGAAATAGACGCGAGCACTAACTGAGCAACTTAAAACGTTAAATATTTTATTGGGGCGACTTGTTTTAAAAATTGCACTTTGCTATTCGTAAAAGAGCTTTGTGGAGGGATGTCAATGACATCTTAAAAACACTCAATTTTTCCGGTTTCAGAGCATGCTATGATCAACTATAAATATACAACATTGTTTTATTTTTTCAAAAGTTCATTTCAATGTGAATAATATCTTACAAACAGTTTCACGGTGTTTCTATACTTTTATAAACTGATTTTTTCGAAATACGCGTATTTATACCTCATTTAACATAACGCTATTCACTCTCCCTAAAAACTTAATAAAATTTTTACTTCATTTTTTATACTCTGTTCTTTAAAAATAACATTAATAAAAAAATATTAAAAATAAATTCTTTAAAAAATGATATAAGTTTTTTGTTCCAACTTGTTCATATCTATTCAGGCCGAATTAAAAAGATTTGTCTCATAATTTAAAAGATTGGTAAATAAGTCCTTAAAAACATTTTTGGTATATTAAGTGATAATTTGAGTCAAACTTAAAATATTTGGTGAATGTTTATAAAATTTTCATTTAGAAATTTTTAAAATTTAACGATTGAGAATTGATTTTTGGCGACACCTTAGAAAAAGTAACCTTGCAGCGGATAGAATTTCTCAAAAGTTAATTCATTGATCTTATTGGAATTTTGCACATTTGTTGATAAATTTTACTAGAGGTTGAATAAAGAATTAAAAAAAAAAAATTCAATTTTTGAAAGAATTATAATACAAGATTTTTCATAAAATTTAGATCTTATATTGCCTGTAAAATTAGTTAAGCTTAAAGAGAAAAAAAATATTTTATTCAATAACTAATCAGTTTATGAACAGGAAGAATTCCATTCAGTTTTTGAGATATCGACTACAACTTCAAAAAATAGAGTTTTGAGGAAATTCAATTTTTCTGATTTTACTCCCAGACGAATACTCCAAGATACTATTTAATGAAATCACTACTAACATTTTGTAATATTTTCTTTTACCATTTTCAACTAAACTAATTCGATAAAAACCAAACAAACGGTTTTTTAAAAGAAAATTTAGTTAAATTTTTACGTTAAGAACAATAGTATTAAAAATTCAGATTTAGCATTTCATGAATATTTTCTTTTTCTAACATTTTGATCTTGAAATAAAATTTTTATCGCACAAAACATTATTTAAACGTAGAACCATAATATCGGTATTTTGATTTGTAATTTGGTACAAAATTACTTCAACCTTAATAAGGTGTTAAATTGAACTACGTTTCCGTTTAAATAGACATCGTTTAATCAAGTTTATGAGGTAGGATAGTATGTTTTAACTTAGTACAATATTAAGGTTTCCATTTAAGCTGACATTGTTTAATCAAGTTTAAGAGGTACGATAATATGTTTTAACTTAGTACCATATTAAGGTTTCCGTTTAAGATGACATTATTTAATTAAGTTTAAGAGGTACGATAATATAACTTAGTACCATATCTAGTTTTTCTACAAATTTCAAGGTTATAATGCTCCAAAATTTGAAACAGCCTTTAAATTAGATTCTCAAACATAATTATCAATTCATGAAAGATTCAAAATTCCGACTGTTGATTTTCTTTGAAATGATTATGTTTTTAATCGAAAAAGACTATTTGATGTAAATTAAACCACTTCGAATAAATTTAATTACTTTTTTTTTACCACTTTAAGCACCTTTCAAGAAATAAATAGCATGGTCAATTTTTTTAAAAAAAAAATAATGTTTAGTCAAATTTTTAAAATTAAGATTTAACGTTTTATGAATATTTTATTTTTCTAAGATCTTGATTTTGTAAAAATACTTTATTCTGAAAACCATCACTCAAACGTAGGGCCATAACATCGGTATTTTGAACCATAATACGTTACAATTTTGCTTTAACGTTTATAAAGTGTTAAATTGAACCACACTTCCGTGTCAGTTAAGCCACAGTGTCATGTAATCAAGTTAAAGAAGTACGATAATATGGTTCAACTTAGTACCGTATTATGGTGCTAAGTTGCCGTAAATTTAAACGATATCATGGTTAAAATCTCTGACATCGTTGAATTTAGCCGTATAATTGATTAGTACTCAAACATAATTATCATTTTATAAAAGAAATGCAACTTGAAAATGTGATTGTTGATTTTCTATCACGTTTTTACAATAGAATCGGAAAAAGAATCATACTCACATGCTGCCGATGAATCCATGGATATCCTAAACTGTGATCTGAAACTAGTTTCGTTTTCTAAAATTCATAGGAGGGCGGAGTCATGCGCGCGCATGGAAGGGCGGAGTTTCTCCTTATTGGGCGGTTCACATGATCACATATTCAGGCCATAAGATTTGTCAACATGCTTTTCACACAAATTGCATTCTTTCTAGACAAAAGCGTTTCGCTACTTGCAAATTAAAAGAATGTTTTAATTACAGCATCATTTAATGTAATCAGGCGAGCTCTGGAACAGTTTAGATTGCCAAAAGGTTAAAAATTCATCAGAATTTGAAGAATTTAACAGGATGAAAGGGAAACCTGTAAATGTTTATAACTTGTATTTCGCTTCCTATTTTCAAGTGGAGTTTCTTTTATTTATTTTATTTTTTATTTCGATAGCATATTGAAGTACAACCGAAGAGATTTTGGAACAAGTGGCTTATTTGGCTTCGTTTAGAAGATATTAATTCGACGATTGTTATGCTTAATTTAATTCTAAACCTCTTTTGTTTTGTTTTAGTTGATATTTCTGATTCCTTATTACCTTGAAATTATTCAGTTTTGTAAGTAATTAAATTCTTCCACGCTTCAGTGGTAAATTTAATTACATCTAATACTACCGGTTCGCTTTTATAAATTAATATAAATAAATAAATATTGCGCTGTTTATTGAGGCTAATTAAATTCTCGGTACTTATAATAAATAAAAGAAAAATATGAACTTATTTTTTATTTTGAAATATTTCAAAGGGATACATAATTTAAAGTTTAGAAAACTTGTCGGAATTAGAAAAATTAAATAATTTAAGTTTTCTGATTCGAAGTAAAGAATTTATAAGTAGTTTGAGTTTTGAGAGAATCGGAAATAATTAAAAAAGAATCAATAATCTGTGGGAGGTAAATAAAAAATATAAAATGTTATAAATATTTAATAAAATTTTATTCATACATAATATGAGCATCAGAATTTCAGTATAAAAGAGTATTTATTTATTTATTTTTTTAACTGTTAAAAATTCTTTGGGAGCATGATAAACCAAGAAAATGCTCAAACTTGCTGCAACCTTAATATGGATCTACGTTGAACCCTAATAAGGTAATACTTAATATAGTTCTAAGTTGAACCATAATAAGGTAATACTTAATATAGTTCTAAGATGAACAATAATAAGGTAATACTTAATATGGTTGAACCATAATAACGTAATAATATGGCAAACTTAATATGGTTCCAAGTTTAACCATGAAAAGGTAACACTTAATATGGTTCTAAATTGAACCATAATAAGATAAACTTAATATAGTTCCAAGTTAAACCATAATAAGGCAAAACTTAAAATGGTCTTAAATTGAACCATAATAAGATAATATTTAATACGGTTCAAAGTTGAACAATAATAAGGCAATACTTAATATAGTTCTAAGTTGAATCATAAAAGATAAACTTAATATGGTTCTAAGTTGAACCCTATTATAGTACTTTTTTAATTTTGCGACACTAAACTATGGAACTCGAGCGGATACGTGGTTGAATTTGTTACGTTAATGAGATTGTAGAAAATTTGCTCCATATTAGAGATCAAGGTAATATTTTTTTTTATTATTCAGCTTTGAACGGATTTTTCTGTAAGAATTCACATACTTGTAAGAATTTTAAAAATTATATACTCCTGCTCACAGGAGTCAAAATAATTTTCAGGAAAATTTCTAGTTTTTTCCACTTCTCTGCTGTCTGCTTCCTGTTTCTTTTCTATTTTTTTTTTTTTTNTTTTTTTTTTTTTTATTTTTTTTTTTTTTTTTTTGATTAATGATAAAATTGGTCTTTTATTGCTTGCTGTTACTCCACCAGAAAAGAAAAAACCTTCAGATTACTGTTGTGTAAATTAAGCAATACCTTTCTATAAACACTTTGAGTATATATTTTGAAAAATACAATTTCACCCACTTGATCCGGGAGTTTCCTTGAGATGACCCAGGTTCGAATCCCAGCTGTGTCTGGTTGATACGAAATCTGCTCTCAGCTCGCACAACCCACAGTGCTGACATTAAATATCCTCATTGGCAAACAGCTCATTGGTTAGAATCCCCTTCCGTTGGGCGAATCGTGAGAGGTTCTCGTGATTTCTTACTGCATGTTAAAACAATGAGAATTAGTTTCATTAAAAAGTCCTCCACGTTGGGTAATTTATCCCAATGCTTGATCTAGGAATTCCCTTGCCTTCTGGGTTGGATTCAAAATTGTAAGGTGATTAAAGATATAAAAGATTAAAAATATAAAATTAAACTACTTTTTCTTACTTTTTGTTCTACTTTACTTTTCGTTTTACGTTTCAACAATTCACTTTCCTCTTTATCTCAGATTTTAGGTTAAATTTTTGATTTTCATTTTTTGGGTGTTTTTATTTTTATTCCATTTAATGTGTTATTTGACAGAATAATACTTTTTTTTAAAATGGTAAAAATAAAATGGCATTTTATTATATGTTAATGAACTGCAAGTTGTTGGTCAGAAAAAGGTCCTGGATTTTAAGGCTCTTCAATTTCATGACCATTATCATGGCTTGGTCACTTCTTTGAAGAGACTCGTGCCGCTTCGAGCTTCTGATTTCAGTCAGTGACGTCACGGCGGCGCAGTATCATCTTCTCGCTTTAAAAATAAATTGTTTCGCATGTAACTAGCATTTTTTTAAAACTTATTTCAATACATTCATTGTTTCTTATTTTTTTTCATTTCGTGATGATTTTCTTCACATATGATTTCAAAAATTCAACAGTAGTAGTCAAAATATCAGCCTGAGGTAGAATTATTATAAAACACAAAATAAGAAAACGTAATTTTCCATGTTCTACCCCAGAAAATATAAAGGTGACGTATGAATTAAAGTATTAGAAGCATTTATCCTGCTGTGAATGAAAAGCAATATGTTTTATGTTTTTCGTTCAGACGTTTGAAAACTCTAAATAGAATTTCGTCATTGAAATTGATACCGTCTCATAACTTTAAACAGAAAAGAAGAAAACAATGTACAAGGTCGAAGAAAATAAAATCCTGAAATTCAAAAATCAAAGTTATTAATGCTTAAAAATTCTTCCAATTTCATAATATATTTTTAATGTCATTATTCAAAATATTTATGTGTTTTAATTATAACGTCTTAATTTTAATTATTTATGAGTAAGTGCAATATTTCCATTATTATATTCCCAAAGATTACTTTTTTTAGTAATTAGCACTTAAAGTTTTTGTTTCATGGGGATAATGTATAAAAAATTTGTTATTATAATTATATAAAAGATAATATTTTAAAATTAGGCATCCCAATTAATAAACTGTAAGGACACTTTTATAGTTACATATTGTTATCGGACCATATGTTATTATAAAAGTGTTCTTATATGCTTTCTTTTAGTTAACAGTAAAAGTTAAAAACTAAAACTTTGCTAACTTCTAACTTTAAAGTGTCATTTTTAATACTATAAGAAATACCAAGAAAATGTATGAATATTATATTTTCCGAGCTGAAATAATTTGTTAGCAGTACAAAGTTTTACAGCTATTATCAGAAAAGTGTCGAACATTCAACTTATTTCCAACAGCAAGGTTTTCATATCTTTTAGTTGTCATTATCGAAATCTGTGGGCGGCGTGACATCATGAGGTAGCTTCAGCTTTGAGTAAGAAATAAATTAGCCGTTCTCTGTCTTCTCTTTAGCCCTGCTAATTTGCACCTACTGCCTTTATTACCTAAAAATTAAAGCTGCAAAGTTATCTTCTCTTTAGCCCTGGTAATTCGCACCTACTGCCTTTATTACCTAAAAACTGAAGCTGTAAAGTTATCTTCTCTTTAGCCCTGGTAATTTGCACCTACTACCTTTGTTTCCCAAAAACTGAAACTGTAAAGTTATCTTCTCTTTAGCCCTGGTAATTTGCACCTACTGCCTTTATTTCCTAAAAACTGAAGCTGCAAAGTTATCTTCTCTTTAGCCCTGCTAATTTGCACCTACTACCTTTGTTTCCTAAAAACTGAAGCAGTAAAGTTTTGCAGAACTAGTCGAACTGAAGCTGTGGGAATTTCATGCTGCTACCGGGATCGAACAACACTCCCTCACAATGGCAACTTATGGTTCAAACCATTGTGCTGTGCCACTTTTCAGTGATTCGAAGACAAAGCACGTGATACTTTTTATACATACTTTTTAGAGCTCCTTTGTTTTATGAAAAGGATAAAGCAATAAAATTATGCGATTAGTAATTTTCAGTTATTATTTCACTATCGTATATTTGTTTGCTAAAAGATTTTTTAAAATTTACTTTTTTCTTGCTTAAACAACTGATGATAAATGTATAATACTAAATTGCATTTCACAATGACGATTGCTGTAGAATACTGTAAATAAATTTAAAAAAAACTTAATTAAAATTTTCGAATAACACCAGCTATATTTCTTTATTCTAATTGAGTGACGATCCAGTATTTTAAATGTATCTAAAAAGACTGCAAAGTAAAAAAAAACATTAAGCGTAAGTTAATTTGTAAAAATGAAATAAAAGTTATAAAAATAATATTTTGAAATCCCCTTTCTACTCCTCTTTAACACCTTATAATTTACTTTTACTATTATTTATATATTTACTTTTTTCTTGCTTAAACAACTGATGATAAATGTATAATACTAAATTACATTTCACAATGACGATTGCTGTAGAATACTGTCAATAAATTTTTAAAAAAAATAATTAAAAATTTTCGAACAACACCAGCTATATTTCTTTATTCTAATTGAGTGACGATCCTGTATTTTAAATCTATCTAAAAAGACTGCAAAGTAAAAAAAAACATTAAGCGTAAGTTTATTTGCAAAAATGAAATAAAAGTTATAAAAATAATATTTTGAAATCTCCTTTCGTGTACTGCTCTTTAACACCTTATAAAAGGTGATAATTCTCAGGAAATATTCAGAATATTTAAAAATTTTTGTATTATGGAGAGATGATTGGAAGCTCAACAAAGAAAAAAAATTTAGAAAGTGAACGCACTCGACAGTGATTACAGGTTGTTTTTCGAAGGCTTCGTATTCA